CGAGGTGGAGCACACGGTCGCTCCAGCTCTCTCACGCCTCGGCCATCCACACGCTTGCGATCATAAATCCAAATTTTTGTCCCCTTTTTGAAATCCCAATTTTTCCCACCATCTACCGCCACGCGCGAGACTCTCACCCATTAATGTGGCTGGCGGAATGACTCATTTTGTCCCCCATATAGATATATGTGATACATGTTTTTTTGAACCAAGTTTTAAGAAATAATTTTGACCGCCTCAGAGCGATTTTGACAAAGTGACAACAATGACTAAAAAAAAATATTTAACATACGCCTAATCACCTGAAAAAAAAGTTTTTTATATATATATAATAAGCTAAACAGCAGCTGGGATTTTTCAAATCAAGACCGAGAAACAGGTAAGAGAAAAAAAATAATTGTAAAAATTTTGACCGACCTTTCAGCTAAAAATTTCTTCTTTGTAGCCATTATCGAAAAAAAATTTGGAGGCAGTTTTTTGAGGCGATTTGATCCCCGGGAATTAGCCTCCCCCCGAAAAATGTATATTTCCCGCCCCCTAAAAAAGGGGTGAAGATAATATTTATAACGTTGAATTTGAGTCAGTAAAACGTGTGTAAAACAAGTACACTTGACACTGCCCGAGGGAATGCTGCCCGAGGGGACACTGCCCGAGGGGACATTGCCCAAGGGAATACTGCCCGAGGGGACACTGCCCGAGGGAATACTGCCCGAGGGGGACACTGCCCGAGGGAATACTGCCCGAGGGGAACACTGTCGGAGGGAGACACTGCCCAAGGAGGACACTAACTGAAGGAAACAACCCAAAGGGGACACAACCCGAGGGATACTACCCGAGGGGACAGTACCTGAAGTGACACCATCCAAGGGGACAGCACCTGAAGTGATGCTCCCCGAGGGGAAAGTACCTATAATGACACTACCCGAGGGGGCATTACCTGAAATGACACTATCCAAGGGAACAGTACCTGAAGTGACACTACCAGAGGGGACAGTACCTGAAGTGACACTACCCGAGGGGACAGTACCTGAAGTGACACTACCCGAAGGGACAGTACTTGAAGTGACACTACCCGAAGGGACAGTACCTGAAGTGACACTACCCGAAGGGACAGTACCTGAAGTGACACTACCCGAAGGGACAGTACTTGAAGTGACACTATCTGAGGGGACAGTACCTGAAGTGGCACTACCCGAGAGGACACTAATTGAAGGAAACTACCCTCCCTCGGGAAGTATCCCTCCCTCGGGTAGTGACACTACCCGAGGGAGGGGACGCTACGCGAGGGAGGGGACAGTACCCGAGGGAGGGGACAGTACTCGAGGGAGGGGACACTACCCGAGGGAGAGAACACTACCCGAGGGAGGGGACGCTACCCGAGGGAGAGGACACTACCCGAGAGAGGGGACACTACCCGAGGGAGAGGACACTACCCGAGGGAGGGGACACTTCCCGAGGGAGGGGACACTACCCGAGGGAGGGGACACTACCCGAGGGAGAGGACACTACCCGAGGGAGGGGACACTACCCGAGGGAGAGGACACTACCTGAGGGAGGGGACAGTACCCGAGGGAGGGGACACTACCCGAGGGAGAGGACACTACCCGAGGGGGAACCATCTTCCACGTGTCCACTTTCTCTCACGGGATCTCAACTCCGGCTGAGCTGCCGGGCAGCAGCTCAGCCGGAGTGAAAAGTTCTCGATCCCGGGAGTTGGAGCTATCTTTTCCCTCCAGTCAAGACCTCACTGACCCCCATTACTCCCATGCCATGACCACAGACTATCCACGACCACAAGAACGACTATCCACGACCACGAGAACGACTATCCACGACAACGAGAACTATCGACGACCACAAGAACGACTCTCCACGACCACAAGAACGACTATCCACGACCACAAGAACGACTATCTACGACCAAGAGAACGACTATCCACGACAACGAGAACAACTATCCACGACCATAAGAACGACTATCCACGACCACGAGAACGACTATCCACGACAACGAGACCAACTATCCACAACCACAAGAACGACTATCCACGACAACGAGACCAACTATCCGCGACAACGAGACCAACTATCCACGACAACGAGACCAACTATCCACGACCACAAGAGCGACTATCCACGATCACGAGAACGACTATCCACGACCACAAGATCGACTACCCACGACCACAAGAGCGACTATCCACGACAACGAGACCAACTATCCACGGCAACGAGACCAACTATCCACAACCACAAGAACGACTATCCACGCCTACGAAAATTATTACGACCACAAGAATAATTATCCAGTACATGTACGACTATCTATGACCATCTTGACCTCAGGAATGGATAACTATCCATCCAGACAACCACAAAGGATGACAACTTATACATGCGTACGACTTTAGAGTGTGACTATCAGTCTCCAAGACTACGACATCTACTATAACGACCCAACATAACTACAATCCAATGACCACGAGAACGACCTACTACTACTACTACTACTACTACTACTACTTCAAGACTATAAGAACGACCAATTACTACCCTACCACCATTATCAACCCACTATTACAACCAACTACTAAACACCATCACCAAAGAACGACCCCCCACCGAGGCCACCACCCAAGGTCAACCAACTACCACCTACACCATGTGGACAACCAGACGCCACCACCACCACAACCACTACCACCAACACCACAATCACCACCACCACCACCATCACTACCAATACCACCACCACAACCACCACAACCACCACCACCATTACTAGTATAACCACAACCACCACCACCATTACCACCACAACCACAACCACCATTACCACAACCACCACCACCATTACCACAACCACAACCACCACCACCATTACCACCACAACCACCACCACCATTACTACCACCACCACTGTCACCACCACCACTATCACCACCACCACTATCACCACTATTACCACCACCACCACCACCACCACAACCACCATTACCACCACCACCACAACCACCACCACCATTACCACCACCACCACAACCACCACTACACAGGAGCAACCACAATCACAACAAAAACAGTCACAAAAAATATGATTCACTCCGTGTGACTATTCATTGTGACACAAAAAATAAGCCTATCAGGCCTATCTTTTCCCAACTGCTCAAACAGTGAGATTTTAACTCGTTTATCAAAATAAAGAAGGAGGCTCATTTGCATGTTAATTGAAGTAGGAAGCGGTAAATAAGAAGTGGAAAGACCAGGGGAAGAAGAAGAGGGGAAGAGGGGAAAAAGGAGAATGTTTCTCCCTACGTATTGTATCTAGCGACATGTTTTTCCCTATATATCGTATCTAGCGATATTTTTTCCTTATTTGTCGTATTTAGCGATATTTTTTCCCTATATGTAGTCATTAGCGACATTTTTTCCCTATATATCGTATCTAGCGATATTTTTTTCCTTATTTGTCGTATTTAGCGATATTTTTTCCCTATATGTAGTCATTAGCGACATTTTTTCCCTATATATCGTATCTAGCGATATTTTTTCCTTATTTGTCGTATTTAGCGATATTTTTTCCCTATATGTAGTCATTAGCGACATTTTTTCCCTATATGTTGTATCTAGCGACATTTTTTTCCCTATTTGTCGTATTTAGCGATATTTTTTCCCTATATGTAGTCATTACCTAGTTACCTGGAGGTTATTCCGGGGATCAACGCCCCCGCGGCCCGGTCCATGACCAGGCCTCCCGATGGATCAGGGCCTGATCAACTAGGCTGTTACTGCTGGCCGCACGCAGTCCAACGTACGAGCCACAGCCCGGCTGATCCGTCACTGACTTTAGGTATCTGTCCAGCTCTCTCTTGAAGGCAGCCAGGGGCTTAGCGATATTTTTTCCCTATATGTCATATATAATGGAAAAAAATATTTGTCACATATAAATTTTTCCCCTTATCGTAGTTTCTAAACATTTTTTCCCCTACATGTCGTTTCTAGAGAATTTTTTCTCCAATATGTCGCTTCTAAAATAAATTCACTAATATCATTTCTAGGTAATTTTTCAGTAACATGTTGTTTCTAGAGAATTTTTTTCTCCTATTCGTCGTTTCTAAAGAACTTTCCTCAATATGTCGTTTCTAGAAAAAATCCCCAATATGTCGTTTCTAAAGAATTTTTCCCTATATGTCGCTTCTAGAATTTTTTCCCCTATATATTGTATCTAGTGGCATCTATACTCTAACGGGACGGGGGAAAAAGGAAAGGATTTGGGGAGCTTTCCCGTTCACAAATATCTGCACCACCTTCATACATCCAACATATGTAGGTCATGCGAAGGAAAGACAACCCACAAGACACAACGTTTCGCTCTTTGTGGAGTGAAACATCGTCCTAATTAAAACGTTGTCCAACCAGTGTCTCTCTTCTTTTTATCGCATTTTTTCACTCTTCAAAAGTTAAGTTCCAACTTTCTGAGACCACCTACAGCCACCTGGATAGCAGACACCACCTTCCAGCTGGCCATGAAGAATAACTCCTTCAGCAGTTAAAAGTACCACTTTTAATTATGTTATATACACAATATCAGAGGGTCATTTGAATTGGGATGTCGGCGCAGTTTTGGGAAGATAGTGACTAAATGAATGACGGTTAAAGAGTTTCTTCTTTCAAGGCTGAAGGACTGACCACCTCAAATGCTATTTCTTTAAGGTTGATAGACTAATTACATCATCTTCACTACTACACCTGCTGCTTCTGTATTTGACTGAAGAAGCCTACTGTATAGGCGAAACGTTACAACAATATAAGATACCCAGCTGTCGTGTAGATACCCATCCATACGGATGGGTATCTACACGGCTTGTATTAATGCTGGTAGAATTACTGACAGTATGTTAAGTGAAGGGACGTAAGTGAAAGTAATGTGACATTTTACTGAGGCAATGTTTCGCTCTCCAGGAGCTTGGTAAAGCTGCTGAAGAGGGAAACGTTCTGGAAGACATTTCTTCTCACTCTTCACAAACGTAGGCGACATTTCCAGCCAATTTCTTAAGTTGTACCAAGTATACGTTTTCCAGTTTTTGCAACAGGTGGTCGCAAATGGCCTGCTGATTCCGACTCACTGTTGAAACGGACACTAGTGTACAGGAAACGTTTTGCCACGAGTGGCATCATCAGTCTTAATAATTAGGACTGATGAAGTCACTAGTGGGGATGCAGCATCATACAACAGAGGGAGACAAGGGAATCCCTGATAATTAACAATGTTCTTAACTTCAGTACTCTAGAAGAGAGTGGAGAAAAAGAGTACTATGGAGAATAATGCGACCCTTTATTGACAACGTTTCGCCCACATAGTGGGCTTTATCAAGTCAC